TGACTAAATCAACATCATATCTGGGGGACATAATCTCATTAGTCTTATCTTCGCTGGTATCTGGGATCTCGAACTACTCTGCCAGCTCCAAACAGCTGTTAGGAAAGCGAATCGAACTAAAGTGCCAACCGGTTTAGTTTTTGACAGAGTCAGGTGTTTGTGTCAAGAATGCATGAACACGAAAATATTTTTACATAAAAGGCAAATCAAGAGCTATAATCGAATAAAATAAAGCAGGAATCAAAAATACACAACGAAATGGAAAAAAAAACACTAATGTCAATAAATTAAGTCAACAAAAGTGACCAACGAAAGCGGACCGCTATAAAAAACAACTAATAGGAGGGGAAATCGAATGGGTGGAGGGGGGTTTGAGTTTTGGGTTTGGAGAACCGAGACCTAGCTGATCTCAAAATCAGAACGGGTTTTGTTTCTGTTTCTATTTCCTTCGCCTAACAAAGAAAATTAAACCTCAATTTGGATTCAAACGGTTCGAATTCAGATTTTGTGCTCAATATATCTGGTATCTGTATCTCGTGGCTTTTCGGTATTTCTTTCATTTACATTTTGTGGTCTGTGGCACCTTTTCGCCTCCCGCCCCCTCCGCCTCCCCCCGCACTTCACCTGTATCAAAAGCTGTTTCTTTAATTTATTCTAATTGCCTCGACGCTGCCTAGATACGGTTTCAGATACTTGGCAAGAAGCAGCTGCAACAGTAGCTTGTGGATTGTTCAGATGTCGGGGGTTAGTGGGTAAAAAGTCTACCACCTGATTGCTAATTTGTCACATTCGAAATGCAAGTGGTTCGATTGCCACCTGTTTCAGGTATCAATCGTTACTAGATTATTATTTGTTCTAATCTAAAAATAGATCAATTACTTCTGATTGCAAATAAACCGTTTACATTTATTATTTTTAACACATTTTTATGATTACCGGAGCGAAACACACTTTATAATGATTATACGTTGAAAATTAAAGACCACACTATTAATTGGTATATAAGAAAATGATTTTGTATAGATCTAAAATTATTAGAAAATATTTCTTTATAAAATTTCAACACGTAAATAGGCCGCATGCCTTTACAACTATTTAGGGTCCAATTTAAATAGCTTAGGTATGGGACTTCTTTTAATTGGTGTCGAGTACAATTTATGGACATTTTTTGGTCATTTTGTAGTAAGTTATTTATTTGTTATTTATGGACATAGCGTGCCGAAGAGCACGTGCTGAGGCTGATTTTAAAGCCAAAAGTATTTTATGAGCCCAGCAGATACGTTCAACTGACCCTGTCTCTTTGTTTGGCTTTGTTAAAGAGCTAAAAATTATGTGTCTATGCTGAGTAAATTATTATGACTTTCACGCCCCGGGCTCCAGAGGAAAATGGGCGAGGGGGGCTCGAAAACATTTACAACGTCACACGTAGATGATTAATAACTTGCACGGTCATAATTCTCTTGGCTCATGGACACGAAAAAAAGCAAATACTCGGATACCCAGTTACTAGCCAACTATTAGGTATTTTCATTACTTTTATTCTGCTGCTTATTGTTGTTATTATTGGTGGCGAATGCAGCCAAGAAGCCAATGAACCGCACGTCTGGTTGACAGCTGCAGTTATTGTTAGCAGTGGAGATGGGCGCGTGATGTGAATTGTTCGGTGTGACACGGGGTTTATAGTGAGAAAATGTCAAAAAAGGTGTCTAAAAGTATGCTACGATAATACTACAGTGTGAAAGTTCAAAGGAAATGTGCCAAAAGTAAATTTTTTATTTATTATAGCATACTTTTCGACACCTTTTTTTGATGATTTCAAAACTCTATAAATACCTAGTGTCGAACTCCCACACCTCTAGCCAAAGCCACAGTTACAGATACATTTTGAGCTGCAGATAAAACTGTTGTTATTATTGACCGACTGTTCTGCCATCTATTAGTAGCAGTATCTGTATCCGAGTGCGGAGTATCTGCGAGCATATTGTGAAAGTGAAAACCCACAAGTGCCCAACCTCAGGGGCCCCGCGTAGAAGCAAAGTTAATACGAGTTGGAGCCACATAATTGAGTTAGCCAAATGCCACATATTTTCGAAAGTTGACTCGACCGGCGGCGGCGCTATAATGACGATCCCATTAAAGCATTAACTATTCATTTCATATTCCAATTGGATCATATGACAATTTGTGACAATCGGCCTAATCAATTCAGACAATTAGCACAGCGCACACAGCACAATTGCCGCGGAACTTTCTTCTCTTCTCGGCCAGATACATTCGGTCAGTTAGAGATACAGATACCTACATTCGGCCTGTCATGTTCCCAATCGTTTTGACCGGAGCAAATCCGATTCGAAATGGGGCTCAATGCAATTCAATTCAATTCGATTCAATTCAATTTCGTTTTATTAACCAGCAAGTTCAGCTGCCGCTTTGCATACGCAATTCTTAGCCTAAAATGCAATTTGGTGACCGTGTTTTATGGCCCTGCAATTGCATTGAATTGAATCTTAATTATGGTTCGGGTTCGCCAGAAAAAGGGCCCACAAATACTTTGGACAACCTGGCTTAGAATTGATTACACATTCAGCTCATTTACCATAAATCCAGAGGGGCTGGGTGCCCCTCTCGTTGCTTATGTAAAACGCGTAGATTTGTATTCACAAACTGACCAAGTGGGCCTGCATACGCAATTTATAACGCACACTCACGCGGTGTGGAATCGAAATTTGTCTCAGTCCAGGTCGGTCCCCCTGGGTTCCATTGGATTCCAGGTCTCTGTCCTCGGTCCCCAAAGAGCCCCCCACCTTCGGGTGATTCTTGCCTTTCAATCGACCAAAAGCTATGAAACCAAAATACCGCAATGAATCAATGAGTAGTGGAGTTCGGGTCTTGTATACCCATGAATCCTCTATATGTATAGATAGTAAGTTCTGTAATATAATGAATCATATTTAAAATGTTATGAAAAAGATCATTTAACTAAACTTACCCATAACCCATTACCCACGTACCCATTATTATAGTGTTTGTAATTTTTAGCTTAAAAGATTTCAAACTGAAGAACTCTAAGATAACCTATATGCCCGGTCCTACGAAGATGTAGGGTACCATCCCATTGCGTATGCAGAGTTTTGAAATGTATTTTAAAATACTGGGCCGCCGAATAATTGATATGCCAACAGAAACGAAGAGAGAAACGGCGAATAGTTCACTGTTCATTGAAATGTTAAATGATTTCGCGTCGAGCAGTGCATTAAAACATTTCGTCGTTGCATCGAATTAGGCAAACATCGAGTGCAAAGGTTTTCCTCGAGCTTTCTGAACTCCACCCGAATATGTGGCGTTCAGTTTCCGCTTTTCACTCGCCTTTAAAAGAAAAGAAAAGAAAAAAAGGGCACCTTCCCCCCACCCCGATTTCGCCAGAATGTTATTCATACATTTTTGTTAGTTTGCCAACAGAAAAAGTAAAGGAAAAGGGAAGAAGAAGCCGAAAAGTCGTTGGAAACGAGTCACATTTCAAAATTGACACTTCAAACGCAACGTTGCCAAGTTTTTTTTTTTTTTTTTTGGTCTAGGGTATGTCAGCGATGCCAACTGCATAGATATTTAAATTTCTTTCCCATTTCGTTTTATATTTATTTTTATTTTTGTTTCACTTCGGTTCGGAATGGTTTGGTACGGTTTCGGTTCTGGGGAGGACAGCAAAACGAACAGCGACAGCATCGAAAAAGACCCAAAACAATTAACGAGCAGATAAGCGGCGAAAGAGCCATTTGCCGTTGTCCCCATCGAACTACTTAAATGCTTTAGTTTCTTCAAGAAAATCACAGAAAAGCCAGGGGAAAAGGGAAGGGGATGGGGGGGATTGAGAATGGGTGGGGGGATAGCCATAGCCAGTTCAATGACCAACTCTTGGGTCGCTTTCAGCTTTCATCAATGGTTGCGCTACATTGGCCACAAGGCAGCGACAGCAACAGCGACGCGACGCTCTGATAGATACAGATACTCGTACATGCCCATCAGCCTCAGAGTTGGTGCCTCAGTTTCAGCTACGGCTACAGATACAGATACAGATTCACATTCAGATTCAGATACAGATACAGCTGCTGCCGTTTTTCTATGGCTGCAGGAGAAAAAATGTCACACGCAGTCGCCACATTTAGTTCAATTGCATTACAAAAGATACAGATGCACAGATTGAGAGATACATTTATAAAAAGACCCAAACACCACGATACACTACTCAACACTACACCACTCTACTCTACACAAATCAAACCGAAAACATTGCTATTCAGCGGCAACAGCTATTTCAACTGTTGACATTCTATTGAAAAGTATTTCGGAAATTGTAACGCCGAAATGTATCTGCTCTCTCGCATCAGCATCTGCAGCTCGGATCTCGCATATTTGCAAAAGTGGAAAAAGTAGCAAAAGTGGCGACGGCGTCATCAGCACAACAAACACACAATGGCGACGGAGAAAATACCTTTCGACTTGAATCACTCACGCGGTTTGACTTGTATCTTGTCACCGGCCATGCCGAGATACTTTTGCTTTTGCCCCCCCCACCCCCGTCCACCTTGACGACTTCTTGGCAATCTTCTTGGACAGCCCAGCACAGTCCTCAGTGACTCACTATCGACGCCCAGAATAAATACAGAGATCTTTGGCTTTCGGTTTCTCTATTTAGACAAAGGATAACTGAAAAGATCCCAAAGGAATCAGCATTTAGCCATTATTCCATACTGAGATTATTGCTAAACAGCTAATTACATTCCAAGAACTAAAGTACAGGCTATTTTGAAAATGAATTCATAAGTAAATTCCCAATATTAAAATTAACAAGTGTCTTTTCTTATCGCTTGTAAACATATATTTTATTTTTTTTTTTTTTTTGAGCCGTTTTGAGGTGTTACAGCGAACTGCGAACCGTTGGACAACAGTATTTTAATTTAAATCTCATAGTCACTATGTTGATTATAATAATAATTATTTAAATTTTTCAATTTAATTTTTTGTTGTTTTTTTACAAATCGAATAACCCCATTTTAAATTTTAATCGTGCTCGATTGTGCCGAGGTCAAGAGATTTAGACTTGGTGGGGTATAATATAGTGAGACCTCAAAATCCACGCCAGTTCCAAAATTAAAGTCAACATGAAATTACTGGTGAGTGGGCAAGTCAGTGAAAAGTTTTCAATACATTATGGTTTTTTGCTTTAGATTGTCCTTTTCCTTTTATTTGCCACTGCTATGGCCCTGGATTGCTGGTGTGAATATGACGATTATGTTGATTATGAGTTTATTAATCGCTTTAAAAGGGACCTTAAGAGACAAAAGCGATGCACTTGGACATGTGGCCCATGGGGTTAAACAATCAAATTTAAAGCAAACTTTGTTTTCTTAAAAAATAATAAAAAAAAACCGTTAAGTACTGGGATTCAAAGATATTCGTAAAATCAGGAATTTTATAAAAAAAATAAAATTTTACAACGAAAAACAAGATTCCAATTTAATTTCTAATTTTTTCCTGAACAAAAGGTGCACCGATAACGGATAAAAAAATAATGTGTCGTACTAAAAAATAGATAATCTTAAATGAAATGTGCTGATTTTTTCGTTGCATGGGGAGCTTTGGACTTTGCTTGTTTTCGTTTCTGCTCCACTTACAAAAAACATAAGCCAGCCCCATAAATATGCGACCTTTGGCGACCTTTGCCTGGCAACTGCCGCAGTAAAGCCCGAACAAAATGCGAAACACAAACAACTGGCTTAGAGTCAAGGGGATAGAGTGCCGAGCTGAACTGGGTACTGAAACTGGGGCCCAAGCCTATCAATAAATTTCTTACAGCAGAAGGAGAAGGCGAAGGCGACGGGGTTTTTGTGCATATGTTACATATGCAACATTTAATTTGAATTTGTCTCTGCGTCGTCCGCAGCGGAAGTTGTGGCAAAAGTTCAGCAGAATGCATATGAGACGTGGTGAGCGACGGAAAAGTGAAATAAAACCAAATGAAATGCTTATGAAATGTTTGCGGATTGCACACTGCAGCATGAATTGGCACAATTCGCAATTCACAGCTAATCCAATCAGCTGGGGCTCCGGGGAGCAATGTCCTGTCCCCGGGGCCAGTCTCTTCCGGTTCTCTAGGCCGGGCCAAACACCTGCAAGCGGTTTGGGCCGGGTCCAGTCCCCCTCTCCCACAATACCCTCCCCAGACCCGCCGATCCGATCCCGTCCAGTCTTGGCCGGTTCGCAGTGGCCGTTTCATTTGATTGTGAGCCCGTCAGGCGTGTATTAATTTCTGCATGTGCGCAACTACAGGGGAAAGTCGAAAGGAAACATTTCAAAATATTTAAATTTTTCTGAAATATTTTTGTTATTTTATTAAAATATAAGCAACATTTTGGGTTAAACTTTCGTGGTCCGACGAAAAATAAAGGTCTCTTTCCGAGTTTTATATAGATAGTTAACAAAATGTTTGTATAAACATATATTCGAATGTATAGAACTTATTTCTATTTTTTTATTTATTTTATTTTATTTTATTATTTTATTTCAATTTTTTTAATAAATTGAAATAAAGTAATGAAACCTTAATTCTAAAAAATTGTACGGTGTAGAAAAATAGCGAAAAATAATTCTTAAACATTTTTTAAATAGCAAAATAAGAATATTCCCGTTCCCGAATCACCACTGTACCCTGACTTCATTCGTTGGTATTTGTGCAACAAGTTGCTGTTGCTGTATTTTTTTCATTTTCCTTTAATATGCAGATTGTGTCGCGCTGACTTTAATACTTTGCAACGTCGTCGATCATTTCGTTGGGATGCGAGTGTGAGTGCAAGATGAGGAAAAGGAGAAACAGGCATGTTGAACAAGCGTTGTCGCCCGTCTTGTAAAACCTGCAACACATGCAACATGCAACTTGCAGCGGCAGCGCAGCAATGCCTGCATGAGGATGAAGGGGGAGGGCAGGGAGGATCGGAGGAGGCGGCCAGGAGAACGATGGAACGGGGTTTCCTTCCACACCGAAGCGCGCACAAATTTCCGCGGCCACAATTTTAATTAAAATTTTCAAAAACTTTGATGACGGCCAACAACGAACTTTTAATGCGCTCTTTTGTATAGAGTTATTCCAAAATATAGAACGCTACATAAGCATTTTTAAATAATTTACAAATACTAAATTACAATTCTACAAAACATTTCTGCCGAATATCTCATTAAAAATAAATTTTATAGAGCATATAGAATATTCTACTATTTCCTCAGAAGTAATTCCCTGGATTGTAAGAGTTTCGCCATATAAAAATAAAACTTTGTAATAGACTTAATGCTTGGCAACAAACAAAAATAAATGAATAAAACAAGAAATGCTTTTGGCAGTTCCCGCCTAGTGATGGCATTTAAATGGGGTAAGAAATATTAAGAAAGATGTCAGTAAGAGAGGAAAGAGTTTTAAAAGTTTCCCCAAGCTGGAAGTGATCGTATAGTTTTTAAGGCTAATTTTGAACATGGATGAACCAGAACCAGAACATCCTCGTCGATACGATTGGCCAAGTTCCCATCACTGGGGCATCCCCGTTGCTTATTAATTCGCGTGTCTTTTTCTGTGTTTTTTTAGTGGCGAGTTTGAGTTACGCTTTACAGGATTTTACAGATTGCCAACATTAATTTTCATACATTGCGGGGCCCGCAAGTGTTGGGGGTCTCTATCCAGGCCACCGAAACAACCAGCCCCTGCCCCCAAATAAATAACCCCCGTGTCTTTTGCAGTCGTGCTCCTTTTTTTATTTTTTCGCCGTCCATCTGAGGCATTTGGGAATTATGTACGGGGCGTGGTAAAAAAAAAGAAAGAGAAACATGTGCAGTTATGTGAGTACATACACATCTCCCACCCGAAATCCCCTTATCATCACTCGGCGGTGGGTTCAAATGTGGGGGCTACAGTCCCCGAAAGCCGGCGACCCCAAACGAAAGAAAAAAATGTCGACCGCTCTTTACATAATTGAAGCGGTAACAAGAAATTCGAAAAGCAACAACAAACGAAAAAAAAAATACAAAACAGAAAACCAAAGAACCCAAATGAGAAAATCGTTTAAAAATGCAAATGGCCCGCACAACGCTGGCAGCGATGTATTCAAATCAGTCCATCGGTCGCCTTGGTTTTGTGGTTGTCGTTTCCTGGCGCTGCATTTGTCAAACGCCGCGGAATTAATGAACCGCAACAGCACCGCCGATTTGTATCTAATGGAGACCAAATAGCCCAACAACCACTAAACAGCCCAGCAATCCAGCGATTCAACAATCCAAGACCTAACCGAGCAGCGCAATCGCAAATTGTGGCCCACAGAGAATTTTTTTCCCTAGCACGTGTGAAATATTTTCACATGGCACTTCATTTATTTACTCCAGCACTGCGATAAAAAAAAATACTTCAACATAAAATAGAATTCTGCGATAGTTGCTTATATCACGCGTTTAATTTTGGGATTATTTGAGAACAAATTAAGTGTACAAAGACTTGGTAATATTTAGATTCGTTGAGAATAAGTTTTGTAAGTTTTAAATATTAAATTATATGGGGTGCGTTTTCTCGCATGTTAAATCTGTTTTTAAATCTAAATATTTAGAATTTGAAACCTACTTTGTTTTAAAAATTATGCTCTCGATGTTTGGCTATAGAACATAATTTTTTCTCATGTATCGTATGCTCCCAGGTGTTTGGGGCGGCCTGGTCACCTTATGCTCTTGTTGGGGGACCTAACCATAAATTTCCTTTATTTTCCTGTTCTGTGCCATTCGTAACGTTCGTTAGTTCCGCACTCCCCTTTTTGTCAATTTGTTTGGCGATATTTGACAGGCGGCGTCCCGTACTTTCAATAATTTTTGGTCTTTGCCTGGGTTTACCTGGCTTTGGTTGCGGGTCTGGTTGATTGGTATCGATTCATTTCTCATACGCGTAGGCATGCCAAGAATTTATGCAATTTTCCATTACCAATTTATATTCCGTTGTCATCGGTAGAACTGAAAATGGGCTAGGTAGGCCGGGTCTATGGGGCAAATATCGTTTATGCCAGGGGCTGCGACGTGATCGCGATAATCGAAAGCGGCTAAACTCCAGGGAGCTGACCACGTGTCGCCTGTCAATCATCTGAACAAGTTGATATTGATATGGAGCAGGGGTATGCTATCTGGGTGTCTATCTCTGGCCTGGCTCTATTAGATAACCCCAATGGCTCTCGGTTAAGTCGGTTTAAAGCTGCCTTATTTATCAGACAAACTCACACACAATGGTCGCTGCTGCAATCAATTTCGAAACTGTCACTTTGTCACTTTGACACTTGAATTCTGTTCTGTTTCTCTGGCTACCCAACTCCTGTTCCCACTCCATTCGCCTCCATTCTTGATCGCTGTGCCAAATGCCGTAGACAACACGTCTATAGCCCATTTATCATGCACTGGGAAAAGTAGGAATGTGATGGATCCTAATTAAATCCAGAGTTTCTAAAAATAGTTAAAATTTGTCTCATAAAAAGTAAAGATTTCTATTCTTTATATTAAAATTACAAAAAGAATGTCCTATTTTACATGAATCCCTACTTTTCTTTCAGTGCTCTATATGTGTTACTGAATGAGTGGGTAAACATCGAGTATTATGTATTTATCATAAATGCCATTTTATCGTTCTTCAGGCTCCCAGTCGTCTTCCTCTTGGGTTTGTCTTCCTCGCTCTTTGTGGCAAATATTTGTTCATTTGTTTGTTTGTTTGTTGCTTGGAATAATGGTGTGGCATATGTCGGGGGTACGGGATATGGGAGTAGGAACCAGTAGGAGTGGGAGTAGGGTTTCTGTGTACTCTTTGTAGGTGGCTCTTATTTCTGCTGTCGTTCGAGTTGTCACCTCTCGATGGTTGTTGCTGTCTCGCGGCGTTGCTGAGACAAAAAGCCAACTTTGGTAGCCGACAGGCCTTGTCACATTATTCCAAAAGTTGTCAAAAACCAAAAAAAAAAAAAAAATAATAAGAAAAGTGGGATGGAGGGGGAGGGTGTAGCACCTTCGGTGACACCTTTTGACACTTGTCCAAAGTGCATCCAACTGCCAAGACACAGGAAATGGGTGGCCCTCTGGCAATGGATTCTCCGTAAATATTTGTGTAACGCTAAGAACGAAGTGTTTCCGAGTCTGCAATGTTATATGTACAATGATATTCCCTGGCAATATAAGTGAGTATATCAGCAGTCGATCTCTACCGAAACTTGGTTGTTTGCTTAAAGATATGAACATGGAATTTATACAAGTTTATGGTTGTTTGAAAAAGACTCCATTTAGAATTATTTCTTCTATGATATTGAATAACTATTATTAAGCTCCTTAAACTCAGTTTCAATTAATGAAAATGAAAGTCATGATAACCTTATTATTTTACGTGGCAATTAATAATAATCGATTTAATCCACCTGGAGTGTCACGATATGCTTTTTACGATCTGTTCAGCGTGGGCAACATGTGCAGTAACTACTCGCTTATCCAACTGGACGCTTAAAATGAGACTGCTGGTTTTACCATTATTGCATCTTAATAGTCCGTTGAGCATATACGATTCTCAAGCATAATCTCTTTCAGTTATTTAAACGGTGCCCATCAGACAGGAAATATCCTTAAAACTGTTTAAATGAAGGTCCGATAAAATTATAATTAGAAAAATTCGTTTAACATAGCTTTTATTTCCTGACATTTTTTACTACAACCCAATAAATTACTCCAAAGAAAAGTTCCCATTTTTTATTGGTAATTTTTTTTTGCTTTTAAATGCTACTTCGAATTGAGGCCCAAATCAGTTTCGGCGAACAACTTTCCGTTGTCCGAATTTCGAGATTGCAGATAATATATTCCGAAGAAAAGTCCCCCTATAAATGAGTAACCACTTTTATATTAGTTTCTTATCTATCAAAAGAATTGTGTTACTAGCAGATTCGTCAAGCGATTTAATCTAGAAGGGCTTTATCAATAGACTTCTTCTTTATTTCGCAAAGGTGATAAGAGGTAAAACAAGTGATATAAAACGGCCTGTCTTAGCCAACTGAATTCATAGTTGATTAGAGCAAACGAAATGAAACCCATTTGCTTTGTACTCTGCGTGTTTTCGCTGTGCCTAATTTATTTGGCTAGTGCCGAAATAGGTGATAATGTGGAGATCCAGACGTTCAAGTCGAAGTATTCATCGTCCTGCAAGGCCTTAAACCCCAAGAAAAGCGGCGTTCAGAAGATCCAAGTGGGCAATGATGTAATCGAAGTGTACTGCGATGTGACAATCGCCGGAAAAGGTTGGTTGGTCGTCCAGCGAAGGGTCAGTGTCGAGGAGAACTTCTTCCGCAATTGGACCTCCTATCAGGCGGGTTTCGGAGACCTCAAGGGAAACTTCTTCCTCGGTCTGAGTAATCTGAACAAGATTACGGCCCTCGAACCTCAGGAACTGTATATTCAAATGGTTGATTTCGCCGGAGAGAAGCGATATGCCCACTACAGTCTGTTCAATGTGGGCAACGTGTACAGTAACTACTCGCTCACGCAGCTTGGTGTCTACAGTGGATCTGCCGGAGACAGCCTAAGATATCATCTGTACCAGCCCTTCAGCACCTTTGACAAGGATAACGATAATAGCACCCTCAATTGCGCCGCCAGGTACATGGGAGCCTGGTGGTACAAGGATTGCCTTTCCAGGTAAGGTTTTTAAACATTCTCTGGCTTTAGGATCCTGACAATAACCCCCCATCCTTTGCAGCAATCTCAATGGTGCCTATCTGGGTGGTAACTACACTGCACCCGATCTCTTTGGCACTGGAATCGTTTGGGGGGATTGGAAGGGATACTCGTATAGCTACAAGACTGTTAACATTATGGTGCGACCATTGTAAAACCCTATAGTTCAAGGAATATTTTGTAAAAGACTTTAACAATTCTTTATAAAAAATGAAAATGTATTAGTAGTTCTAAATGAGATCGTAATTAAATAAAAATCTGAAAAAGATTAGCGAAATTACAATCAAATATTTTTTGTTTTATTTAAAGTTACAAGAGCCAAGCCCCTTTACCGTGTCCATCAATTTGATCGCCATAAGGTTGGGGATATTATTATTGCTGATGATGAAATGGCATATTGCTGATAAGAACGTTTTCCTCGCATTTGTTTCGCCGTTCAAGTTCAAGTTCTCATGTTCTGTTTGCACATATCATATTGTGGTTTATGAGAAACATTTGTCGGGCAACCCAGTTCCTGTGCCCGCCCTCTTTTCATCAAAGTTCTGGTTCTGCTGGGGAGTATTGTATATCCGCTGGTGTATAGAATAACCGCAGCGTAGCCCCCAAATGCTTTTGTTATTTATTATCGGGCCTCCGGACTCTGGTGCAGGGATAATGACGATGACTCAATTGACGGACAATGGATAACTTTCAAGTGGAGGAATTAAAGGCGAAATATCATATCAAGTTCTGCCCATTCATATTCATGTTGGGACGGGACCCCGGAGAATCAGCTGATCTCGGCAGTTTCCCCGCTCACGGCGTATGGAGTATGACAAATGTATCGCATATCGCTCGCCGGTCATTGTGTGCGAAACCCCGATAGTCGGCACTTACAGATATGCCATATACCACACTTTTGGGTCTGAGACTGTTGGTGGGAACCGTTCGTGTTGGGGACTTTATTTTAAATTAATTTCATTTTTTCGTTTTGCTGCGGAAGTATCGATGCGTTATTGGAGCCCCTGGGTTGAATTTCCCTCAGGAATTTTCCTCGGAATTATTCACAGTCTTTGCGATTAAGGTTACACGACTGCTGGGATATGCAACGGAATTTTCAGAAGGTCTGGGCCTCCCGTTAGAGACCAAGCTCAGCTCAATCCCAATCCCCGTGACTAGGCTTTTGTGACATTTGCATCTGCCACACAAGCGTGGAATCGCCATCGCCATCGCATATATAAAAGTACACTCACTGGGGAATCGTTGGAAAAAATTCTCATTAACTAAATAAAATTATGATAGATGGAATATACGGCTGACGGGCATTAATTGCATACTCACGCAAAACAAGTTTCCCAGATATCTGCCCGTCCCGGCAAAATCATTTAGCAAATTAAATTTGCATCTCACAAAGTGTTTGTATAAGGCAAAAGAGCAAGAAGCAGCGAAAGAAGACGTGGGGCTTTGAGAAATTTTTAGAGGGGTGAGTCAGTGCGATGGGAATTTCATTGGTCGAATTATTAAATATGAAATTGATAAGTTCTTTTATTTGAAAATTGGTTTGGTGAACAAAGCAAATTAATCTTTACAATTAGATGTATTAAGCAGATCAATTGGGAGAAATTCATGGGAACATTTTTCAATAAACTATTTAAAATTCATTTTAATATTGTTTAATAACCAAAATTTATAGGTATTTAATTCAATAGCTAGTAAATTAATGTACCATATTAAAATCGATAGAACCGATTTTAGAATTGTAGTTCCTGAAAATCTATATGAAATTCTTGTATAGGGTTCGAACTCGAGTCCCGATTTTGTATGTACCATCATATTATTTCAATTTATTCTTCAAAAGGGGATGATGTGTAATATGATATTCTGGTGACTAGATGTTAGTTAAAATTATACTTTTTTTTTAATTTCTAATTATTTTCGAATTGCCCGCTTGAGTCACCCTTTTCGCTGGCAGAGCAATTGAAGGTCGCAGCAGCCGGACACGGCAGCAAGATCGGCGGCAGGGCAGAAAAAGCAAAATCAAAATCAAAAGCAACAGCAACTGAGCACGCATTTCGAAATGTGCGAGTGTCGGAGGCAATTGAAATGCTTTTCAGCAAAGGCGAATCGAACTGCTCTGAAATGCTTTTATAATGAGTTAATAAGCGCTGCCCGAGAGCACCTGTTGCCGTCGACGAGTGCAAACTGCCAAGTAATTAAGAGATTTGCCGGCCAGCCTGGCCCAGATGCACTCAGCTTTATTCTCCGACTCAGCTGGTTTTGTTTTTTATTTTTTTTTCCATTTTAATTGCTAATCAAAACGATTTGTAATTCTGCGTTGTCTAAGTAATTTATTGACCATTACATAGTGCCGCGATTTGCGCTACGCTCGGCGAATACACAAAACCAGCCTCCCCTTTTGATCTACGCCCCTTTTGGGGGCTGGGAGATGGGGGTCTGAGTTGAGGTGGCGCCAAATGTCGCCGCCGCATGTTTTCAAAATGAATTTCCGCCAAAGTGCAGCACAAAGTGCGGATTCTAGGGGTGAGGTGTAGGTATGTTTATCACTTAGTGGTTAGTAAGTATAATTGATCGATGGCATTAGCTCAATGTATTTCTACTTTGATTTGACATTGATTAAATACAAAGTGAAGCTAAGTGAGGTGATATTGACGGAAAAATTGAGTTTGAATTTGATTAGATTTATTAGATTAGTTTTTTCCTACTAAAAGGGTACGGTTTTTATTGATTTTAAAACTTTAGTATTTAATAATTTAGATTTATTTTATATTAAGATTTTTTAAATAATCCATAGAATATAGATAACTAACTTTTTATTTATTTAATACTGATAGTTTTTCTCAATCTTGAGTCCCAAGTCCATCTACTCTCTTCAGTTGCTTATACTTAAAAAAACATTCCTGGTGCTTGGTCCAGATCGCAGCATCTTTTAATAAATTATCCTACAAACTTTACACAGACAACGGGAATTTGTTTGCTGTCGAAAATATTACACTTTTCATTTGTAAGTTTTTTTCGCACACCCAAACAAAAAGTGCCAAAAATATAATCAAAATGAAAATAAATTTGCTCGGCGGCATCGCAACAGGGAAATACAGATACGAAGCACAGACAGTCATGTTGGCAGATACTTTTTAGCCACTTTGACTAAAGCAATAACATTAGCGCTCGGCTGGCGCAACTATTTTTGGCCAACAGAAAAAAAAACGTACAAATTGAAAATGTATTTGATTTTAGTTTGGTTTTGTTTTGGAAAAAATGTCTAAGGGAAAATGGGGGGGAAGGGAGCGGAAAACTGAAAGCTGAAAACTAAAAACTGAAAGTGCAAAGCATACAGTTTTGAACTTGGCACGAGGCACGAGGAGAACAACAGAGAGTGGATGGGAGTGGATTTTCGGGTGCACCCAGATAGCTGGTTACGATGCAAATGCATCTGCATCTGCGAGTACGCGTATCTGCATGTCTGTAGTAAGTGCGGTACGGTCAATGCACAGCGACGTAGACGGCCAGACAAATATTTGTTTGCTTTTTGTTGGCTTTGTCATCGGTGGGGTGGGTGGGTAGTACGAGGGGCAGTGGGCGGTGGGTTGGGGGTTGGGGCTTGGGCGGTCTGACCACGTCACCCAGCCGGGCCTCATCTTCAGCGTCGTCGTCGTCGTCGCAGTCGTCATCCATATGGCAAACTATTTTTAAATATGTTTTAATTATTTGCTGGCATATTCCTTAAAGCGTTGACTAGTCGGCGTCTCCGTCTGCTGGCTGGCCCTGCCCCCCGGGGCTACTCCCCCTTCACCCACAATTCCAAAAAAAACCGGGGGTGTGCCACACATGCAACTACTTTCGAGGTTTTCTCTGTTAGACTTTGGTTTGCTCCATATTTTGTATGCTCCTTTTTTTGTAGCACCCTCTCAAATGGTATTTCAATTTTCCACAAAAGAATATAAGCCTCTGAATAATCATTGTGATAAGCGAGAAATAATGTATATTCCTGGAATCTAGAGCCCTGCTTAAAAAATGACGTTTATTTCCTTAATAAAAATATTTATATTAAAAAATATGATTCATGACAATCATCAGCACAATAAACCCATAAATAAATGTTGTTAAGTTTTGGTAATCAGAATATCCCTCATCACTTTGTTTGTATTTCAGGCTAATCTAAAGTTGGAACTACCAAAACAACTTTAATATACCTAAATCGGAACTAGGTACGAAAAGAGGTATTTTTTATTTGCCACCAAATATTGTACATCTTATATATAAGAGTATTCTTATTTTCGTTGTTCTGTCATTTTTGTTCAGCGACTCTTTGCAGAGTACATTAAGTGTGAAGTTTTTCGCCAATAGAAATATTATTGTCGCGTCGCGCATAATGTGTCGCAGCTTGCATGTAATTTTCTAGATTTTGCAGCCGCCTCGGTTGACATACTCGCATACAAAACAAAAAATAAAAGTGTAAAATGAAAAACAAACAAGTCCACAAACACTCAAAAGAAATATTCATCTCTGCTATTGCAGTTTTTTATTTACCGATTTTCAGATCTACTTACTCACTATCTTTTTTATATATTTATACCAGAAAACCTATTTAAGAGCAAAGTGTCCAGTCTGCACAGAGTGTATTTCAATTAGTTTCTATTTTTCCATATTTTATTTGTGTTCTTATCGAGTGGGCCGCACCCATCGATCCGATCCCCTCGATCCGTTTGGCTATCGAACTGTAGAGCAAGTCAAACATGGAACAATCGGCCAGCGACAATGAAAATGCCAAGTGCGAGTACGAGTAGCTTTTTGCCGCCGCTGCGGCTTTCAAACAATATTTTTAGTTGTACTTTTCATTTTCTATTTATTTAACTGGCAGTGGCAGCAGACTTGAGTCGGCCAACAAACCGCATGCACGCTCGCTTTACAGGCTTCTTTTTACCACGGAAAAAATATATTGAGGGGAGGGGAGGGTTTGGGCTTGGGGCCATTTGGGGGCCATGGGGCTGGGGGCTTTCCAGACGAGACGGGACGCCAATGAAGCGAGAAAAATTACTGTTTGTAAAGTGAGTTTGTCAACATGAGGCGTGTGCATCGCAGAACCAGACAAAAGCCAGATACAGATACGAATACGAATACGAATGCCGATACAAACAAGTATCATTAACGCAATGCCCAAACCGTTAGAGAGGCATGCATTCGAGCTGGAGTTGGTGGCATCTTTACCTGGAAGCCGACTCCAAAAACTCCATAACTCCAAGTATTTTTCTGCAGAACTTTTCGTTTGGCTCGGAATGACGACTGCGACGATTGGGAAGGAGGAGGCCAGATCATGACGGGGGCAAAAGTGGGGGACATGGGCATTGTAATTGAATACCTGGCATACTCATCTTTTCCACCACTTCCACCATGTTTACATTGGCATACCCTCAACGCTGGGATTATGCTTGTTTGTTGGCACTTTATGAACATTTTGTCGGCTACGAATTAGCTAAGCAAAAGTTGAACTATTTTATCAAAACTTGTATTAAAATGTTTGTGGCTGTATCAAAATAATAATAAACTATAAGAATTTCCCTTAGTTTATAGAATAAATTTTCGGAAATATTTGAACTATAATTATTACTTTACAATCATTCCAAGTTGCCTGTCGAAAATTAAATTATTAAGCTGCACTGCCAGATTATATCAAGAATTTTAAATATTTCTATTGCTATTTTCAAGACATTACATCCCATGTATTTTAAGGTATGCATTAGTCGATCTTGTACATCTGCAGCTCTTAATTCTTTTTGGGTTTTGTTTGACTAGGCGTACATTTATGGTTTGTTGTCCTGGCTGAAAATGGCACTGGACCCATCTTAGATGGAGGCTAAGAAGACCCAAGAAGCCAAGGCTACTGGACAAGGTCTGCAGCGTTGTCAGCAATTACTCATTTATGGCTGGTCCCGGCATTTCTCGCTCTCGGCTTCTGTGTGAGCTGGTATCTGTGTTTACAGCCTTCCACAGCTCAAACACTGAAAGAATATATAATTTGTTTATTATTTGGGATCCCTTTAATTAATGGGAAATCAGCTGTGATAGGTATCAAAACTTTTTAGGTAATATTAGCTCATGTAAAAGGCAAAATATAAATTTATTCATTTAATTCAATCATTCATTAATTTTTTATATTTTCTTATATTGAGGAAATAACTATTTTCTATAATTTTCAATTAACCTCTGTTTAACGATTAACATTTTTTTCTGTGCACCCATTGATTTCGACTTGTACTTGGGTTCGTGTGCTGCTCTTTTTTATTGGATCGCCGAGGATCCTCGCCGGTTATTGCCTTCTGCCTGCTGCTTCTATTTATAAAGATTACGTGTAATTAAAATCGGTTCCCCAGCATCCTCTGCTGCCCATCTCGTTACGCTTGTCACCCGACCGTTACTTGCGAGAAGGAGAGCCACAAATAAAGCAGATCGAAGTAAAGTTGATGTTGAAGTGGTCGAGGAAAATCTCGTTCCAACAACTTGACTGGGTGGCGCAGCAGGTTGAGTCCAAGATTCTCTGTGACATCATATAACACTAGTTTACAGCCGAAATGCTCCCCAGCAATTGATGGCAAATTCTGTTAGTTTTAGACCCCTAGATCACGAAAATAGCACTAATTTTTTTTTCGATGGCACAGTTTTTTTTTAAAGATTTTTTAAAGTTTAAAATGTTAAATTTCGGACTTTTTTCGAATTTCTTCTTATATCTCGGCGGATATCCACTTGGTTGAGCCAGTTTTAGTTTTATTTTAAAGTCAATAGATCAGAGCTTAACTTTGCCATACAGATTAATATGATTGGATGAGTAATGGCAGCGCAGAAGCTTGACAAAGATGAAAAATGTGTTTTTTGGTCGTCTGTAAGTCGGCTGTATATATCGTAAAAACTCGAAATAAATCCGTTGAAAAATCATAATGGGTACAAACTTAAAGTGTACACCCTACCGAATAGAACAAGCTGGATATGGCCCAAATCCATGGAAAACTGGATTTATGGTGGATTTTTAAAGTTCGGATTTTTCCACTTTTTCGGTTGACAGAGTCCAAATTTAAGATTTATCATAGGCGGCGACATGTAAACAAAAATAATTGGTGTTGGCAGCCGGGTCACTAAATAGCTAAATCAGATATTTAAAAGCTAGAAAATTATAAAAGTGAATTTAATTTTTGAAATTAAGGTTACTTTTTTCATAAGAATGAACTATCCAAATGGATAGTACTTAATTAAAAATACTCACAGTCATAACGCAAGCAATTTTATATTTTTAAAGGAATTTTCAGAAATTAAATTTATTTTATAATTTTCTAGCTTTTAAATTTATCTATTTTTTGATCCGGCTGCCGTCACCACTCATTTTTGTTTACATGACGCCGCCTATGATAAATCTTAAATTTGGACTCTGTCAACCGAAAAAGTGGAAAAATCCGAACTTTAAAAATCCACCATAAATCCAGTTTTCCATGGATTTGGGCCATATCCAGCTTGTTCTATTCGGTAGGATGTACACTTTAAGTTTGTACCCATTATGTTTTTCAACGGATTTATTTCGAGTTTTCACGATATATACAGCCGACTTACAGACGACCAAAAACACATTTTTCATCTTTGTCAGCTTCTGCGCTGCCATTACTCATCCAATCATATTGATCTGTATGGCAAAGTTAAGCTCTGATCTATTGACTTTAAAATAAAACTAAAACTGGCTCAACCAAGTGGATATCTGCCGAGATATAAGAAGAAATTCGAAAAAAGTCCGAAATTTAACATTTCAAACTTTAAAAAATCTTTAAAAAAAAACTTTGCCATCGAAAAAAAAATAATTGCTATTTTTGTGATCTAGGGGTCCAACACTAACAGAATTTGCCATCAATTGCTGGGGAGCACACCAAGAATATTATTTTGTAAACTAGTGTAATTGGAGCGCTTTCTTATAGGAATATTGATTGCATTATAATGGGCAAGAAATGTGGACAGGGAGGATTCTAAACGAGTAACTGCGCTTGACAGCAGAATTTGAAGTGATGGGGTTATATTCAAGAAACCACCCAGAACCTATTAGAAAATAGAGAGCTACAGTTAACACTAAGTAAAGAAATTTGAACTACTGCAATTACTTTGTAAAATGTTTTTATGGTAGTTTAACTTTAACAGATTTAAAATAATTTGAAAAATATGTTCAAAATTGGTTTAGGGTATTACGGTATCTTTTTTTCGATTTTTAAAGGTTTGGGATCCTTCTCCAATAGATTCGATGCGGTTGGTCGGGATCCATTGGAAACCGTGCCTGCGGAACTGTTCGTTTCACTCCATTGAAACCCGAAACAGTTCTCCCGATTCGGGCTAATCAGGGCAATGAGATTGCCCATTATCTCGGCACTTTACTGGCATGGAGGGTGGGGAATGTGAACTTTGACATACCCATTATCCGCGCTCTAGGCAACAGTTCTCCTCCTCCGAGGCGATAAGCAAATTGAATTTTGAAGACCCGTAATCACATTTCGAAATTCTATTTTAATAGGGCATTTAAAATAAATGCTCGTGCCCGACTTCGATGCCTTCGGAGGATTATCAGTTGACATGACCTCGACGTGAGTGTTATCGATTCCCTAAAATCCACCCAATGCAAGCTGGTGTTATTTTTCAACCGACAGAATCGGAATCTTTATGTGCCATTTGACACAGTTGGGCAGGCACTGGCTCACTTATGCAATCGAATCGCCCGACAACCGATGACTTCCAACGTTATCATTCATTTCCACACAGTGAAGCCTCTAATCTCTGAAACCCTCCGATCCTCGCCCCACCTCCCTTCCCCAAAAATCGAGCATGTTTCGAGCGCATGAATCCCATCGAGAAATGAGATGTAGTCAATTCTTGAACCCTGCTGAACTTTGAGCTAGAAAATGCAACTAATTCAAGTACTAGAGAAACATTTCATTTATATTTAGATTATGATGACTACAAATCATTATGAGGCATTTAAGTGTGTCCCAAAAAAAGAGGGGCATTTTTAAGTTACTACATTTTATTTTGATTTCTTACATTAAATTTAAATTATAAACTTTTTATGAATACTGCGCAGACTAAGGTCATGTACAATCCTATATCAGCTTGAATATAAATAAACTTATAATCTTGGTGGATTTCCTTAATAAATACTTTGCTTCTTGCATATGGCTGAACTTTGATATTGTATACATTTTTTGGCGTTCCATTTAACTTTTATTTTTAAAACTCTGACATTTTGGCGAGGAGACAATGTGAACCGAGAATCGGCGGCGTCGAAAAGACGTTCCATTCCCTCTTAAATGGCGCTCCCAAAACTATTTTTTCCCTCCGTCCGACCAATTGTCCTTTTGTCCGCGAATATGTCTCCCGCGTCCGTCCGTCCGTCAGTTAGTCAGTCGATTGGTCCGTCCGGATTCGTTTGTGTCCACCTCTGTCTAGCCGTCAGTTTGCGGTGCGCCTTTAGATTTAGCATTTACTTCTAGCATAGCTGGCATTTTTGTAGCAATTCGTGTCTATATGGTTTGTTTCCACCTCGTGCCGCTCCCTTTGTCGTCGCATTCTATATATTCTATTCGGTGCTCTCTTTGTTATGGGTCCGGGTCCGTAAATGCCGCGTGCTCATCACTCGCAGACACTTTAGAATGCAGCTAGTATCTGTGAGATGCGATCGATGGATGGAGCAGACGGATCTTGAGTGGCGAAAATCACGGGGGGAGTACCAATGGAGATTCACTGATTTTGGGGATTAGATGTCGCAAGTTTTTACTGGATCGGCATTGATCTTAAGATAGTATCTACACAGAGAAAAAAAGAAAAAAAAAAATTTAAAAAAATTTAAAAAAAAAAAAAAAAAAAAAAAAAAAAAAAAAAAAAAAAAAAAAAATTTTAAAAAAAAAAAAAAAAAAAAAAAAAAAAAAAAAAAAAAAAAAAAAAATTTTTATTTAAAAAAAAAATTAAAAAAAAAAAAAAAAAAAAAAATTAAAAAAAAAAAAAAAAAAAAAAATTTTTTTTTTTTTTATCTTTATTTTAACCAATTTCAAAGGACCTACTCCTTATTATTTATTTATGTTTTTAGCTAATTTTTTAGTAATTATCTAGAATAGTTTATGTTTGTATTTTCTTTTGCTTTCTTTTCCACTCTCCCCTGCTCCTTCCCCATCTTTCTTGTTTCCTTCACCATTTTCCCCTGATCCTTCCCCACCTTTCTTGTTTCCTTCACCACCTCCCTCGTTTGCGTCACCACCATCCAAGCCCCTTTCTTCACCATCGTTCGCATTTCCATCTTCCCCATCATCGCCCCCTCCATCGCAATCGTGCCATTCTACACAGATCCAACAGCACTCGGGAAATGGCCGCACGGTGGAAACTCCTTCCTCGGCGCACTCCTGAAAAGTGGCCGGCATTTGGCAGCTGAGAAAGGGAGAGCATCTCAATTGGACTAGCCACTTGGTTGTGATAGAACGAGTTTACAAAACTTACTAGTGGATCAATGCATCACCCCGATCGTTCTGGCAAACGTAAACTCCGCACGTATTTTCGTCCTTTTCCGTCTCGCCCACCTTTAAGTCATTTCCCGTTACGCCCTTGCAACCACCTTCCGCTAAAAATACGAAACGGTGATTTGATATGATATATCATATATGATATTCGAATATCCTACCTCCAGGTTCAAGTTTCTTGAAATGCACAAGACCGTGTCCATAAGGTGTAAAGAGTCCCAGCAGGATCAGACCGATCTCAAAACTATTCATGACCAGCCTAGTCCGTTAACAAATTCAACAGTTAATGAATTACCGTATGGGGACAATCCTCGCTTTTATAGCCACATTGATATTTAAATTCAGTCGCACCAAACAGCTGTCCATCAGGCCGGGATTCCATTGAAACTTAAAGTCGCATCAAATTCCTAGTAGTGAAAGGGTTTTGGCTTGCAAAAAGGGTGTACTATCAATTGAAACTTGATACGGTAACTGAAATTTTACTGATATTCTTATATATACATATCTGTTATACGGACTAGTTTTATAGAGGATTTCAATCAAATTTTCAGAAAATATTGTATTACCAATAAAACTATTTATCTGAAAAAGAGATACGCACAACAAATATTGGCATCCATTTTAATAAGAAAATCAACAGACAGCTATGAGCTAAAATTCAATCTCTAATCGCATAAAACCCATATCGAAAAACAAACCATTTATCCCAACATTCTTGATGCGAATGCTAGGATTTTTGGCTATGTACCTGCTGTTCCACCGCCTGCTGTTTCACTGCACGACCGGCCACATTGTGGTTAAGGCAAGTGATTCACTAGATCAACCACAGAGGAACTGCCGCCTGCACAAACGAATGGTCAATCCGCGTGAGCTTCTCAACGATTTTGCTGCAATCAAGGGAGCAGGGACCGGTGGAGCTGCTCTTAAAAATACTGCTAGATCCGCTGACCGTGCAACTTCTTTTTATGAAACTGGAGGAGCGTTGCCAGGAACGGGAACGGGAGCAGGAGCAGATCCTAAGTCCAAGACGCCCTCCGAAAAGGACTGCGAGGTGCACACAAAGTGCAATATTAAGACGGTCATCACGCCCGGCGATCCCAAGCAGAAATCCTCGATGATAGCCATGAAAGCTGCCCAGGATGCCAAGGCGGCCAGTGAGGCGCAATCGGCGGCTGGCCAGGCGGCAGCCCATCATATTAAGATGGAGCTCGCGGAGAAGGCTTTCCAATCGGCCAAGGCCGCCGAGGCCGCTCTGATGGGCAAGCAGATGATGGTCGATCAGCTGGAGCAGGAGGTCCAGGAAGCGGATGCCGTGGTGGAGGAGGAGACCAACTCCATCCACCACACGGAGGCCAATATGAATGCCGCAGTTGATGCGGTGAAAGTGGCCACCCAGCAATTCGAGACGATCAGTGAGCTGCAGAAGACCGCCAAGGAGGCTCTGGTCAATATCCAGACGGTGGCCCTCGGGACGCAACAGGAAATGGCCGCCAAGACGCAGCTCCTGGAAGCCGCTCGCAATCGGATGGCCCTGCTCCAGAAACAGCTGCTGAGTGCCCACGACGACTACGAGCAGACCAAGCAGGCGGCTTACAAGGCAGCCTGTGCCGCCGTGGAGGCCAAACAAAGGGCGGGTCCCGCCCTCGCACCATATTATATTTTTTAAAATTTTATTACTTTAATTGTTCAGTTAATTCTTCCATGCCTTCTAAAAATATTCCAGGTAATTAGAAACACAGTTTTAGTTTTAATTGGATTTTATTTAAAAATATATAACAGATATTCTATAAAGAAATCACCTAAAATCAAATATATCTGTCTTTGAAATTTGAAAACTTTCTTATTACCCGAACCTTAGTACCTTTTCTCCATTAAGAATCAATACTGTTCATATACAATGATTCTTTCTTGATCCCAAGACATAAACATTGTTATAGAGAACCGATAAACACTGAATTCTGCTTACTCTCAACGAGATCAGCAGGTGTGAAATAGGATTGGATAACACTTAATGGGTGCTATAAAAGGTTCATTCAGGAGGAAAAGTGCCCAAAGTAAATCCATTTCTCCAACTGAGATGAAGTGCCTCCTGGTAACGATTGCCTGGGTGATCAGTTGCTTCAGCGTGAGTGCCTTGGTGCACTACATAAAACTGGAGAAAGGCCGTATGAAAAGCTATTAATAACACCGCTCAAAAATCAATACGGATCCCTGGAAATTTTTTTCAGAGAACGGCTGCAAATCTCCCAAAGGTACAGAGATGGCTGTGGGCGACATCGAGCAGGATGATAAGACTTGCGGAGCTTATGCATGTCAAAGTAAAGAAGGAGATGCTTTTGTTCACTTGTAAGTGAAATTATAATAATTAGAAATCAGTAAAAATGAGAGGTTTCCAAATCCAAATCAATCAGTTGCCAGATACCAGCAACTTTTGCGGAGTGTGTTGAATCGGCTGTTTTGACGGACGTAGATTTTCCGCAATGCTGCTGGACGTGTGCCGCTTGGACGAATTGCGGTGCAGGATCTGGTGGTGATGCAGGAGCAGGAGAAGGTGATACAGGCGAAGGTAATACAGGCGAAGGTGCAGGAGAAGGAGGAGGTGCTCCGGCAGAAAGATCCGCTGATAAACCTACTAAAGCGCCTACTACTACTGTTGCTGGGGAAACTACTACTACTCCGGCTACTACGACTGAAGGCGGAAAGCCCCGCACCAAAGGAAAAGGAGGCTCCAAACGAAGCACTACCAAACCTGATGAATCTGACTTTCCTGAGGAAAATATAAATATTAAGTTCGGCGGTGGATCTCCGATCTCAAAGTTCGGTGAAGACAGCATATAAATTTGACTGCAGAAAGTACCCGTGGTATTTATTAATTTTAAGCCTCGACATTGGTAGATTTCGACCATAAATAAATGACACGACAATGTGCACATCTCGCAAAGCTGACCCACATATACACACGTCAGATCGGGAGTGATATCTTTGCCAGCATATTTCTGGTTTTCATTCGATTTTCGTTCCCCCTGCTGGACTTTTTCTTGGTTTTTTTAATTAGCCGCCGCTGGCGAGCAAATCGGCTCGAAAAACAGGAAAAGGGTTTCAGTCGGGTCCTTCAACCCGAGTGAAAAAATTTCAAAATTATAAAGCGAAGAAAACGAAGTACAAGAAAAATTGAAAACCAGATCTCCTCGCGAGTTTCGGTATGGGAATGGGCATGGGATTGGACTTGGACTCGGCGAGAGCTTGGGCAGGTAGGGAGCGTTCCCTTCTCCAGAACACTCCACCCTGGAGTAAAAGAGATTCGGCATGATGTACATTAAACGGGAAAGACAAGAATAACCTCCAAACAAAAAATGAAATGAGCCACAGAAATCCCGAAAGCTTTTTCGGCCTTACAATTTGTGAGTGCGGCTGCAGTTGACACTGAAAGACCCCTACGGTGCGGCCAATATGCACATAATTACTACATACAAACCTACATCCTGAGGCGACTTTGATCCTGACAGCGAACTGGTTAATTCAGGTACTCAGTCAAAGATCTCGCAGAACTACAGTTCTAACTATCTTTACTTATTGGGTATTTTAAGCTGAAAATTTTAAAAACTTTCATACATATTAAGTAAGATTAAAAGAGTATAGTATAATTTTTAAAACTAAGTAAATCGAAATTTTCTGTGTAGGGTACCGGCTGCTCTGCCGCTGCGCTGCTCTTATTAATTGAGTGAACATGTCCATTTTGGGGACAGCCCGCCAGAGGGGTGGGGAAATCGGAAAAGAAATTACAGTATGATTAAAAAGAACTAAATAACAATCCAGTTTCTTAAAAAAAACAGTAACAGACTGAAATCATACTTGGCTTACGTCTTTGTCAGGAGTAACGTAACCAGTCAAACACGTAAGCGGAAACGTGACAAAAAAACCATGCGGTTGCAACATGTTCGGTGCGAGCGAGATGCCAACAGGATTAGGCGCAACAGGCCGGTGAGCCGTGGCCGAGAGCAGGACGGCACTACCGACCGGCGATGGCTAATAGAAATGCGACAACAAATAAAAAGAGTGGTGGCCCGCGAGAGTGAGCGGGAGAGAGAGAGACGGGGGAACAGCTGTGCGAGATGCAACAAGCTCGACGCCGCGTCGAACATATAGCATAAGGCCGGCAAAACTTTGGAGCAGAGCAAATCCCCAAATCTGAGCGTTATTATGAACACAGTTGATCGTGGGCCTCGTGGGCCAACGGACGCAAAGTTCCAGGAAAATGGAAAAAAAACACAAAGCAAACAGAAATCAGTAAATAAAGCAAAGCTAAACCTGAACCCTTGAGGAAATCAAAAGTCAAGAGGAGCGGACAAGTGCCTACGTCGAAACTCGGTCAAGTGTTAAGAGAAATTCCAAATAAGTTCTAATGAATTCTAATTCGTGACGAGTGTGTGTGTGCCGATCGGGAGCCAAACGATATTTTTAACACCTACCGGGCTTTACGCGTGTTTCACACATTGCCAGCACCGACGGATTCGGATCCGATCATTCACCCATCGTAGCTTCACTGAAAAAATAGAGGAAATAAACGCGCGAATCAAAGCCCCGGCTCCCAGAACTTTTACACGTGTCTCGATCGCTGACTCACTGATTTGCCGTATGCCCAAAAATTAAAGGCAATTAAGCAAATTTTCCACAATTGATTAACATTGAAATTAGGCAATGCCAACCGAATGTGTTAATAACAGCCGCAGCCGAAAAAGAACAAAGAATTCTGTAATCGTTGACGGGAGCCAAACTTCACGTCATGATCGCCAAGGAAAAACGAAGTCGCCAAGGTAACAGTTGTTAACTAAACTTAAATAAAAACTAAAACTTAAATATTAACGAAAAATTTGGAAAGATTGGGTTTTTTAACCAGAGAAAAATTCAAAAATATCGACCTTGATTGATTGATTAATACGTATAAACGTACTAGGACAAATTTTACTTCAGCTCTCCAAATTGTGAATATAGTTTTTTAAAACTACCAATTTTATCATCTGCTCAGAAAGAAATATAAATGTGAGACATTGGATTGGTTTAGGTTTGCCTTTTAAATTGTATGTTAAAAGTAACTTTTACCATAAACAATTTGTTTCATTCACACTTATGCCCATATAATAAAAATGACCCTTTTAAGTTTAGTTTATTAGTCTAGCCTGCAATCATAAAAATCAAAATTATAAAGAAACCATAATAAATACAAAATTCTCTAAAATTCGGAGAAATAAAAATATTCATATCTTTTAAGATTTTCAAGCCCCTCTTTTTCGTAGCTCAATTTCAATTTGATTAATCAATGAAAGCCACTAAAAGTAAAAAGAGGCGGGAAAGCAAAGCAGAGGGCGCGTGAAGAGGCGGAATAGGGCGGTAGGGGAGGGAAGGAGCGGGTCGGCTAATTGATAGCAGCAATAGTGGTGGCAGCGCTGCGGCAGAGGAAAAGCAGAGCGCCAAAAAGGAAGCCGAGAAACCGTTACATTATACGCGACAAAGGAATGTGTCACAGTTAAAAATCAAATCACACGTTAACGTAACGGCAGCGCAACCGCGGCGCGGCCGATGCAACATGTTTGAAGCAGCGCTGCCGACGTCAGCGGTTGCAGAAGATCGCGGCTAGGGATGGTCGCGTGCCGCAAACACGATTAGATTCAAATTGGTATTCGCTTCGCTAGGTTATAGTTTCGCGCTGTTTGTTACAAAAGTTTAGTAATCTACTTTAAAACACAAGTATTATTATTTTTAAGTTTTAGATCTTCTACTACTCCAAACGAAACAAAAAACTTTTCAAGTTGTGTAAACTAACATGATCCCATACCAACCTAATAAAATTCAAGCACACGTGGTCGGCAGCGTGTTCGTGTTGCGCCGAAATCATCGCTGCCCACTCCCATCTCTAGCCGCGGGGCAGCGCAGCCGTCGGCGGCACTCGCCGGCGCCGCAGCTTTCAATTCTTTTTTGGTGCTCGATCGTGACGGTTTGCTCGCTCTCCGCTGCGCGCTCATTTCTGCATGTGTGTGCGGGCGTTATTGTGCATGTTTCCGGTGGCCGAAAAAAGAAAAATAAAATAAAATAATACATCAAGAATAATAACAGCCACACGATAAAGAGTGTGCCATAGTGTGTGTGTGCATCTCGCGTAACAATAATAATTGCATTTATCGGATGGCGCCAGCTTCAGTTTAATTATAAATAACATGTTCAACTTTTTCTGCGCTTTTCCCTGCGTCAAAGTAGGCGTTTTAGTTATGTATATCATCCGCCCTCTCAACCGCTCCTCCGGAAAATCACGCGCGCCGGTTCAAAGTTAAAGTTTGTTGGGTAACGCACACACACACGCACACACATTTCAATGAACTAATGGAGCCTGGCTTTGTTTTTGTTTCATTTTCAACCCACTTGGAAACAGAGAAAAAAATCAATATTCGTTATGGGATTAAATTTACAAAGCGGAAAGCACGACGACAAACCAAAAACAAAAAAAAAAACGATTTAAATAAACTTGCAAAGAATTTCTTATCGCCAAGGGGCCAATGTTCCAAGGTTTTTGCCTGAGAACTTTGAGCTTCCTCTGGAAAAGGAGATTATAAAATATTATAAAAATAACCAGTTCAACAAAATGGAATACCAAAACTTGCTAATTAGCAAGGACATCTGTTCACATCTTACCGGGCAGCATTAGATCCGTTTTTGTAACTCTAATACTGTCAGGTAAAGATGTCGTCCGTGTCCTTAACCTTCAGTACAACTAACAAAAAAAACCAAACAAATCATAAAACTCCAAGGAAAAAACAAGTTTTTCAATTGTGCGTCGAGTAAAAAAGATCGGAAGGACGTGAGAGGAGCTGGAAGGAAAAGAGTGGATAATGCGGAGACAAGCGGCAGAAAATTGGTCATAAATTCTTATTTTTTGCAGCGGCAGAACGACGCGTTTTGGGATGACATCAGTTGAAAAAATATTAAAAAAACGAGAGGCGAGATCGTTCCCAATTCCCATTATTTTACCATTCCCGGACCCCGACAGAGTTTGCAGGTAACCACTAAGCACTATAGAAAAAGACAGAGAGCCACACAACACCAGAAAAGAACAGAGATCGCATAAAGAATATATTTTATGGTTCCGCTCGCTTCGGAGGCTGCTCGCTGGTTCTTAATTTCATCGCGGCAGCAGCGTTTAGTGACAAAAATCGTCTTCTTTTATGATAGCTCTCCGTAAACCTCCGCCTCATCTCTATATCCACAAATTTACGATTATAGTCAACTAGCCAAAGCAGCAGGTTGGTTGAGTTTCATTTCGGTTCGTTTCGTTTCCCATCTTTTCCCCCTTTCGTGGCCGTTAAATGCTCATAATTTGAAATTAGAGAAATGTGAAATAAGAAACCTCAGCAAAAGCTTGCCACAATCAAACAATTAAATGCTTATAAATCGCCGAAACGTGATCGGGGAAAACGCAGCTCAGTTAATATGATTTATACGAGGACATGTGCTCGAGTAATTGGTCGGAACTTTCAGTTATACACAGAGAAGTTATCGCACCTGTTAGACATTAACTACAAATTTAAAAAAAGCCGGGACTTTAGTAGGAAGTTGAGCATTTAGCATAGTTAAGCAAAACAATAATTGTTAGGATTAATTATGTCTTATAATTGAAAGTTTTTTTTTTATTAATATTGGCTATTAGAGCCGTTTAATTATCTTTTCTATTTATATTCTTTTTACTATCAACTGTTATTAACATTATATGGTTAACGATCATATAAATCACTTATTAATAACTGTCAGACAGTAAAGCTTTTTTATTCTGTAATCTCTAATACATTAATTACCCCACATACTCAATCTATTTTATTCGTTTTTTTTATAAAACTTTACCAAGTCGAAAAAATTCTATATTTCTGCTTAGCTAATTTCCCCTTAAGTCATCCACTTTGTTTCTTATATTCAAA